GTTTACAGTGAGGATGGGGAGGTCAAGCAGATCCTGAGCTGGGCCTCCAGCAGCCTTTCTCCAAAACTCAAGCAATACCCCCAGGTTATGTGGTTTTAATCCAGCCCTGTTTTAATTCAGCCTGGGCCTCACGAGGAGGAGGACGTTGGATTCCGGCCACTTGTTCAAGCTGAAAAGACATCGCCCTAAAACTTGGCCTTCCTTCGTCTCGAGCTCTCCTACAGAGAAATGTAAAATACTGATTTCATTTAGTGACGGCGTGCGGCAAGGTGACACACAACCATCGTCCTTGGACGAGATACGACCATCAATCTGCCACATTTAGGGAGCAGTTTCCTCCATTTGGCCACGCTGACTCATCCTGTTGCCTCGACTTTCTCACTTTTTATTGCTAAAAGCTTCCAGCGGGAAGCGTTGCGACCCGTTTGCAGGCTCGGCCTCTGATTTACTGATGGACTCCAGCAGTAATGGCCACCTTCTTCCAGCTCGCCATGATCACACATATATCAGGTTAGACACCTGCAGCAGGCTGTGAGGGAAAACGGAGGTCTTAATAAAACATCTCTAATTCCACTAGAATCTGTGATAAGAAAAATGGTCTTTTTCTTTTTGTAAGACAAAAATATTTATTACCATAGCATGTTTTTGAGAATACAAGTGGTGAGTCCCTCCAAACCGGCTTAGAAATCATATGAAGAAACCGATCATCAAAACTCACAACCTGATGGGATCTTAATGCACCTGTAGAACGACAGCCCAGCATGGATCCACTGCTGCTGTCCCAGTTCCAGACAATCCACCCATTTGTATTTTTGTTAAAGATTTGAGCCATTCTGGAGACAAAGAGGACTCCTCAGTCTTAGGTGCAGATGTTGGATGCTGTCTATCATGGTGCACTAAGATTCATAACTGGCTGTGATTATCGTACCCACCACTGCACCCTGGATTCACTGGTTAACTGGACATCATTAACTTCACACAGACTCTCTCACTGGTACATTTTCATCTTTAAATCACTTCTTGGTCTGCTGCCTTCATACATCTCCTCCTACATGTCTCTGCGTGAGTGCAGCTACAGCGTGCGCTCTCAGGACATTATTACCTGCAGTGTTCCCTCAATGAGGACTGAACTAGGCAAAAGGGCCTTCTCCTACTCCGCTCCTTGTTTCCTGGAATATCTTACAAAAAGATCTGAAGCTCTCGACCTTGACCTCTCTAAGTGGCTTTAAAAATCTGTTGGACTCTTGGTAGGGACCAACGCAGACATGTTCCTGTTTTTAGTTTTCTACATTCGCCTTAGAATCTAGCTGTTTTTTTGTTTACCTTTTCCTTTTAGCCATCCTATGTGTAAAAAACAAAAAAAACCAACAAAAAAAAACTGCAGTATGACTTTTTATAACTGTTTATTGATGTTGCTGTTGTCCATTGTTGTCATCATTCTTTGTTGAAATCAGGTCTCTCTTGTAAATGAGTCCTCAAGGCTCAATGGGATTACCTGTCTAATAAAGGTTGAATGAATATGGCTTATGAGCCTACAGCAGGGGTGTCCAGTCCCGGTCCTTGACGACCATCTTGCATGTTTTAGTTGCATTTCTGCTCCAACCTGATTCAATAGTTGAATTACCTCTTTATGTTCTACAAAAGCCTGTTAATCCCCCATCAATTCAAATCCGGTGCATTGTAGCAAAGAAACCTGTAAACCATGGATAGAGGCCCTTGGGGACCAGGATTAGACACCCCTGGCCTTCACGGATTCAGATTTATTTTGTTAAATTACCTTCTTTTATTGCGTTCTCACACAAGTCACATTTGCTGCAGCTAACAAGATGGACACTTTCAGGCCTCTGTGGTCACAAAGTTCACATAAACCAAGCGTAAACGACATAAACCAGTCCATCTCTATATATGCATGCGGTGCAGTACGACTTTGCTTTATAAGACAGTGTAATTTGTCAACACCATAAACATTTCTACTTGTTCTTTTTCCTCTGATTGAAAAAAAAAATTTTTTTTCTTTAGTATGACATTTTTTTTCCTTCTGCAAATATGAAAAAAGGACCCGTTGGAGCTGCTTCTTTCTGTTTTATCTCATCATCATCAGTAAAGATCTGTAAAGGATGGAAGGATTGACTTAAAAAAATCAAAACACGTGGTGATAATTACAAACCGGATTCCAAAAAAGTTGGGACACTAAACAAATTGTGAATAAAAACTGAATGCAATGATGTGGAGATGGCAAATGTCAATATTTTATTCGTAATATAACATAGATGACAGATCAAAAGTTTAATCTGAGTAAATGTAACATTTTAAAGGAAAAATATGTTAATTCAAAATTTCACAGTGTCAACAAATCCCAAAAAAGTTGGGACAAGTAGCAATAAGTGGCTGGAAAAAGGAAATTGAGCATATAACGAATAGCTGGAAGACCAATTAACACTAATTAGGTCAATTGACAACATGATTGGGTATAAAAAGAGCTTCTCAGAGTGTCAGTGTCTCTCAGAAGCCAAGATGGTAAGAGGATCACCAATTCCACCATTGTTGCGCAGAAAGATAGTGCAGCAATACCAGAATGGTGTTACCCAGCGTAAAATAGCAAAGACTTTAAAGTTATCATCATCAACCGTGCATAACATCATCAAAAGATTCAGAGAATCTGGAACAATCGCTGTGCGTAAGGGTCAAGCCTTAAAACTCTACTGGATGCTCGTGATCTCCGGGCCCTTAAACGTCACTGCACCTCAAACAGGAATGCCACTGTCAAGGAAATAACAGAATGGGCTCAGGAATACTTCCAGAAAGCATTGTCAGTGAACACAATCCACCGTGCCATTCGCCGTTGCCAGCTGAAACTCTACAGTGCAAAGAGGAAGCCATTTCTAAGCAAGCTCCACAAGCTCAAACGTTTGCACTGGGCCAGTGGTCATTTAAAATGGAGTGTGGCAAAATGGAAGACTGTTCTGTGGTCAGATGAGTCACGATTTGAAGTTCTTTATGGAACACTGGGACGCCATGTCATCCAGACCAGAGAGGACAAGGATAACCCAAGTTGTTATCAATGCTCCGTTCAGAAGCCTGCATCACTGATGGTATGGGGTTGCATGAGCGCTTGTGGCATGGACAGCTTGCATGTCTGGAAAGGCCCCATTAATGCAGAGAACTATGTTCAGGTTCTAGAACAACATATGCTCCCATCTAGACGTCATCTCTTTCAGGGAAGACCCTGCATTTTTCAACACGATAATGCCAGACCACATTCTGCAGCAATCACAACATCATGGCTCCGTAGGAGAAGGATCCGGGTACTGAAATGGCCAGCCTGCAGTCCAGATCTTTCACCTATAGAGAACATTTGGTGCATCATAAAGAGGAAGGTGCGACAAAGAAGGCCCAAGACGATTGAACAGTTAGAGGCCTGTATTAGACATGAATGGGAGAGCATTCCTATTTCTAAACTTGAGAAACTGGTCTCCTCTGTCCCCAGACGTCTGTTGAGTGTTGTAAGAAGAAGGGGGGATGCCACACATGGTAAAAATGCACTTGTCCCAACTTTTTTGGGATTTGTTGACGCCATGAAATTTGGAAACAACAGATTTTTCCCTTAAAATGAAACATTCTCTCAGTATAAACTTTTGATCTGTGATTTGTGTTCTATTCTGAATAAAATGTTAGATGTTGGCACCTCCACATCATTGCATTCAGTTTTTATTCACAATTTGTTTAGTGTCCCAACTTTTTTGGAATCCGGTTTGTATATGATAAAATGTGACCTTTTTCACATCGTAGATATTTGTTAGACGAAACGTTGGTAACCCCAGATTCTACGAGTATAGGCATACCCCTTTAAGGCTGTCGCTAGTGGGTTTTATCCCGTCATGCAAAGCATCACACTGACGGGATAGACAGCCTTAAAGGGCGAAGCCTATACGAAATAGAACAATCACTAACAGCGTAAATGATAACCAGGTTCTGTTTAATGTCAGGAAACTAGTGAGATCTAAAGGAAGTCTGATTCCATGCAGTACTTCGGAGTACAACTTTCTGCTGAGATTATATAAAGTTTGATGTTTGTATCCACAAGGGAGAGTTCCTGTTTTGGCCCAATAACCCAGCACTTGTAGACAGTAATCCTGCGAGGCAGAGGATGGATGGAGGGAGACACGATAATCTTTAAGAAGCGGTCGACAAAATCTCGATTTAGGAAACTGCCAGAGTGCATCTTGGCTACCAGCTTGATCTCTCAGAAAGACAGAGAACAGCTGTGAACATTTTAGAGCAGTGATCACAAAATAACTGGTGGTAACTGGCTTGTGATGCCAGCCAGATACACAAATATTATTAATAATAAAAGACTTCCATCTGCCCAGTTACACCACAATGAACCTCACAGCTTATTTCTCAGATGACGCTCTATAAAGACCAGGGTCCTCTTCATCACCTCTCTCAGACTGATGCTAACGAACAGTCTATGTGATTAATAACATTTAAAGTTTTCCTTTGTTTGGTTAAATCCAAAAGCAGCATAAACAGAACTCATGAACTTTGTTCAAAATAGTTTTAAACTTGCACAATATAAAAGAAAGCGTGCCCCCTAGTGTTGAACAAAAATAACAATTATAAACTACTGAGCCATCTCTAGCTGCGAACACGCTTCCTTACACTCACCTGGAAATAAACATCTCACAAAACTTCAAAATGAACAAATTTATCAACTTTCAGCCACTTAAAAGTCTTTTTTTCCCACATGTTACAGATGTTAAAGCAGCAAATTAGCCCTTGTGTTGAAACCAAATACACACTCTGGCAAACTGTAGGAATCTTTTTTAACAGCAACGTAAACGCATTAAACAGAACATGTTTTATAAAGTTAAACCAAAATACAAGAACAGACAGCTGCAGCAAAAATATACAAAGTGCAGCTAAGTTGTAATTTATTATTAAGGATGAAAATGCTAAATGAAGGTTGTTGTTCATTTTGCAAGTTTTACTGCCAGGTTCGTTTCAGAACATCTGCAGAAGAGAAGGAGGACAAAGAATCTCCAACACGTGTTTGATTTATTTGCCGTCTTTTTCCCCCTTTCATCACTTTAACATCAGCTCCTTCCTTTCAACGTTTCACAGCTGAAACGTTGCAGAGGTCTGAGACATGGCGTTATAAATGAAGGTGTTGTTGAAGGGCACAAACTGGTGGCTGAGGATCTTAATGGCCTCTTGAGCAGCGGATCCTGCACAAACACAACGCTGGATGTGAGTTTATAAGCAGCGTGTCAATGTGAAGGCAGCGTGGAAAGACTTTACCTCCCAGGAATGCAGAAACTGTGTGCGGCTCCGCTGCACCGTAACGACAGCTGCACGGGGACAATTTTAAAATGAACTATTTGAAAGGATTTGCTAATCACGTTAAAACAGCCAAACAAGCAGTGAGCAGGACTCACAACTCATGGATGTAGTCATCTTTGATGTTGACGTTGAGGCTGTACTCCTGCAGCAGGCTGTTCACACACAGCTTCAGTTTGCTGATGTCTTCCTCCACCTGGTAGTTAGACACTCCTGGTATAAAAAAAACAAACAAGTGTGACAGATTAGATTGTAGTAAAAGGACAAATAAGAAGCCTTCCCCAGACAGGTCACAGTTTGGAAGCAATTTTACTTGGTAAACCTGTAAATAATTGTTAAAAAAAAAGTTGCAGACTTCCCCAAAGGCCCCTGACTTTTAGTGCCTGCTGCAGAAGGGGAAATGGCGTTAACGTCTGATGCATCGTAAAATATATATTTTTAAAAAGTCAGTAAATTTTAAAGGTTTTGAGGTTAATCTTGGTGTGGTAATAACTGAGACTGATCCCCAACTTATACAACGAGCGCTAACTGATCACATTAGATCTGTGTTTAAAACTTTGCCATTGGAATCGACTATCTGTTAGCAAAAACCCCTCAAGAATCACTGGATGGAGTTTTATGAAACTCTCGAGATAAAATGATTGAAATGAATGGTTGCTTGTCTTTATAGCTGCTTGCCACTGAGAAGTGCGACTCTGTTCGGTTCTCGTCTCATCAGCTCTTCTCAGGTGTAGGTGAATTGCCATGTGACTTGTTTCCCCGCTCTGTGGGCGGGATCATCGATACAAAGTGAGCGGTTTCTTGTGGCGCCATCCGGCTCATGCTGAATCCTCGGATCCGCCAATAAAGACAGAAAGGTCTGGACCTCATTATTGGACCATGGCTCCGTTTTTGGAGCTTCCACAATGAACTAAAAACTATCAAAACAAACTGACACAATCTACACAAACAACCCCCATGGCTGAGCAGGGAGGACGAGGAGGTGGTAGCGTTTCCTTACAGGTCGGCTCGGAGACATAACATTCATTTGAAGCTGAGTTTTTTTTTAAAACCTGTAAGACTTCCTATGTGCGTCCGTAGTCATTAAAAAATGAGTAAAAATCTGTATAATTCATGGAAAATCCATAAGACTTGACATGTATGTGCTGGGCGGGTCGTCCTGTGACGTAGCTCCACTGGTCGATCAACGGCTGCTGCCTGCTTACATCACAATCGTCACCTGAGAGCAGATCACTTAGAACCACGAGCAAAGTGATCCCATAAACTGAGCTGAGTGGGGGTGGGTACCGGCAGTAGGCAGGTCCTTAACTGGCGCTGTGTGGTGCAGAACCGATGAGTGTAGGGTCATCACAGGTCATTATGGTCGCCCAGCAGATAGTCAGCGTCATCCACCCTCACTAGAAGAACTGCGTAGTTCCTGCTGTCTCAGGAACATCAAGAAAACCCTTCAGGACCCATCACACCCAGGACATGTGCCGTTTGGACGCCTGACTCCGGCAGACGCTTCAGATAAATAAAAACTAACAGACCAGGAAATGATTTTTATCCTTCAGCCATCACCATGCTGAATGCTGCTAAGCGGTCACTCTGACCTCGTGCACCTTCATGTTTGCAATAAAACAGTTTCATGTGTATAATATAGCTTTGTCAACTCCGGCTGATGTGACGTGAATGGAAAACATTTAAGGACTATTAGGTATTTACTAACTTCTTATTCTCTTTACTCTCTATATTTTATATCTTATTTTTAATGTAGTTAAAATTGTTGTACGATGTTTCATTGTTACAATGACCATAAAGATTCTGATTCTGTAGAGACAAAGGCAAAGTGCCACATGTCCCTGTGCTGGACCTGTGATCTGCCCCTAACGTCTGCTGGAGATCATCATCAGCTGCACCCCCCCCGGGACCATGCACAGAAAAGTGGGTAAAGAAAGAGGATGGACAGAGACCAAGCTGGCTATAACGCCATCATTTATCAAAATAAGATGATCTTAGTTTAAAACTGTGGTTTGGAAGGCAGCAGGCGACATTCATCCCTTCAAGGAATGCTGGGTCTTTATTTAGTTTGGATTTTTTTTTTTTTTTTTAATTAATCGTCACTTTATCAGAGCTTGTAAACCAAAAGCATCACTTTCCATTCCAAGGCACAAACTATGCTGACAAAATAAAGCAAAGCAAAAAAACTCCCAAAGTGTAAAGATATAAAACTTGGTCAAAAACATAAAAAGTAGTTGATCGAGAACACACTTTTGATTGGTGTAGCTCTATCACTTAAAAACCATAAAGAAGTACCTGGGTAGCGGGAGTGCTGCTGATAGAACCGATCAACGGACCGGAGCATGAGGTAGAAGACCATCTCACTGTCTGGACTGTCCATACAAGAAGCTGGAAGACCACGTCACAGTGAGCAGGTCAATATGTTTGATAGTAGCTGAGCGAACGGCGCAAGAGAGAAAAACTCTACGAGAATCACAGCTGAACAGAAAACTGATCTCAAACTTACTAATTTCATCTTTGTTTATCGACTCCACGTTATATTCTTCATCCAAAGACCGACAACGCACGACTCGCAGGAAGGAGGCATTCTTACCTACAAACCAACAAATACAGCAAAGTTTGTTAAAAGTCCATAATGACATTTCCATGTCCATGGATGTCAAGTGTCCCGTTGCTCTGGTGCTGCTGGACCTTACAGCTGCGTTTGACACAGTGGACCACGCTGTCCTGTTGTCTCGTCTCCAACATTATGTTGGAATTTCTGGTACAGCTCTCAAGTGGTTCACTGCTTATTTGACCAACAGAACGTTCTCTGTCATGCTGAATAATCTGTCTTCCTCCACTGCCCCTCTCTCTTGTGGTGTGCCACAGGGTTCTATTCTTGGTCCTGTCCTCTTCTCATTGTACATGCTGCCCCTTGGATCAGTGATAGCCAAACATAATTTTTCTTTTCACTGCTATGCTGATGATGTACAAATTTATTTACCAATGAAAACTAAAAACAGTAACCTTCTCACACCTTTCGTTGATTGTATTGCCGACATTAAACAGTGGCTTCATCTTAATTTTTTGTTTTTAAACGAAGGAAAGACAGAATGCATTTTCTTTGGTGATGATGCTCCTTGTAACTTTGGTGCTCTGACATCCAAGTTCAGATCCACAGTTAAAAACTTGGGAGTGACATTTGATAAAGACTTAAAGTTTGACAAACAAATATCCTCTGTAGTGAAGGCCTGTTTTTATCAGTTACGTCTTTTATCCAAAGTTAAGCCTTTTTTAAATCGTTCTGACTTGGAAAAGGCCATCCATGCTTTTATAACTTCAAGGCTCGACTACTGCAATTCCCTATATGCAGGAATCTCCCAATCCTCCATTAGACGCCTGCAATTGGTCCAAAATGCTGCAGCTCGACTTTTAACCAACACCTCCAGACGTGAGCACATCACCCCTGTTTTATTTTCCCTCCACTGGCTTCCAGTCTATTTTAGAATTAAATTTAAAATTTTATTATTCACTTTTAAAGCTCTCAATGGTCTTGCCCCACTATATTTGTCTAATCTTGTAGCTGTCCGTGAATATAGGAGAACACTGAGATCTTCTAATACATTTCTACTTTCTGTCCCAAAGTCCAACTACAAACGATGGGCCTTTTCGGTTGTCGCACCCAGACTCTGGAACCAGCTACCTCAGGACTTGCGCACCATCACTGACATGGAGCATTTTAAATCTAATCTTAAAACCTTTTTATTCAGGCAGGCTTTTAATACCTAGTAGGTCTTTGACAATTTTGCTATGTTTTAATTGTAATTGTTTTTGTTTTTAACTGACTGATTTTTTATTTTTATCTTTTTTATTCTTGTTTGTTTTTAACTTCTGTACTGTGCAGCACTTTGTGCACCTTTTGGCTGCTGGAAAGGGCTCTATAAATAAAGTTTGATTGATTGATTGATTGTTGTTCGTTTGCCAAAAAACAAAGAATAAAGCACTTAAAAATAAAAAAAAAGCTTACAGAACAGCTTGATGTCCTTCTCAGAGATGCTTTCTGGTGGCTTTTGAGAAAAGAAACAAACATTACAAAGTTAAAAAAAATTTTTTAAGCATATAAAAATCCAAATATTTCAGTGAAGGTTGAGATTGTTGGAATAAAGCTGCCCTACGTGCTTATTTGAGATGAATGCATGTTGTGAAGCATTACATGTGGAATCACTTTCTGCCCTACAGACTTGATGTTAAAACCTTTTCTAATATCTCCCTTCTAAGCAGTAAATCATTAACATTCATCATTAACAAAATCAGAAACAATATCAAAGTTTTTACACACAGCTAAACGATTGCAAACTTGTGAAGTAAAAATTCTAGCTTTTTTTGTAAGAAATTAGATTTTAAACCTTTCCAACAGACTGTAGTAGACATTCCACATGTTTAGAAACAGCTGCTGCATCCTGCATGGCCTTTTCCCTGTAACTGAAATAAAAACACAAAAAAAGATCCAATCTGATTTACAGACGGTTGGTCTTCTTAATCGCCGTTACTCATACTTTTAATAAATTAATCTACAGAACCAGCCGCACCAATAATCCACACTTACACGTTTTGAAGATTGATGAACTTCTGAGAGTCTGCGATCATGTCGGGGATGGTTCCGCGCACCGGAAGGCTTCCGTTGCTTTCGCTGCGAGCAAACTCCTTCACAGCTCGCAGCATCACCCAGAAGGCTGGCGACTACACAAATGCAAGCAGTAGAAAGAAATATAGAAACTGTGTTTATTTATTTATGATTTAAATCTGTTTTAAAATAAATAACAAAAAACAAAAAAGAAAAACAAACTTGTGCTGTGATGTTGTTGCACTGTTCACTATTGAAAAGGTCTTCAATAGAGCTGGGAATCTGCAGAAACAAGAAATATGTGGTTTAAAAAAAAGGCAAGTCAACAAAGAAAATTGAAAGTAAAATACGAAACATGAATTAAAAACCAAGCAGCACTTAAGATCTGACACCTTGGTTGGATTTAAAGCAGTATTGACGTTCTTAATAGCTTCGTCAAAGTTTTCCTCATCCTCCGGGACACCATTCTCATTTTTTCTGATTCCTAAAAATGTAAAAAAAAAAATGAATTAACTTAGTTCAAACATGTATACATCTCAAACAAACTGCAATGTCAACTCGTTGGACTTATGAGAAACCACATTCCAGAGATTCAATTGTACCCTCTCGAATCATTCGTCTGAAGGCCTCTTTCTCCTTGTAATTTTTTGGTGGCTGATTGTTGTGCTGCACCAATAACAGAACAAAAGAAGAGTTAGATGACTGTACACACAAAAACAAACCATTTACAATGTTATTTTTCTTTCAGCTGCTCATATCTGCAGGGGTCAACACAGCAACATCGCATTAAATATTTGGCTATTGTTTTTCCACAGGATTCTCTGACTCAAACCTGCAGCCTCAGGATTACGAGACCATATCCCTCTCAACAAACAATATACAAGAGGATAACTCTAAGATAAGAAACTTTGTCTTGAAAAAGCCAACCTCGCTGAACCATTTCTCCAGAAATTTAGCAACAATGATAATCCAAGGTGTGTGGCTGTGATCCTGCAGAATAAAGTGAGAATAGAGGAAAATGACAAGGACAGTAGATGGAAGGCTCTAAAGTGCACACCCTCATTGAAGAACTACACACCTTCTTTTCCATGCTGGCAAGATCATATGACTTTATGTGGTTTTTAAAGTCATCAAAAGGTTGATCTAACCTTAGATCCTCCAACGCATTGTCTGGATGAGATTCAATCACTAAAGCCAGAGGAACAAAAATGTATGATGAGATACAATTAATGCATGCACAAAAGTTAGCCAAACGCATATTTATCATGTCAAGACAATTTCATCTTTGATTAAATTATGTTGAGCGAGAAAGCAATAACACTTCCAGTGTAACTGACCTGAGTGCTCCTGCACCACCAGTCTCATGTAGCCTATGAGGCCATACGTTTTGCAGACTAGAAAAGGTACAGAGGCGCTCCATAAAACGGAGCCGAGCCTCAGACACGTGCTGTCAAAATTACGAATAAAAATCAGACAAGTTATGTTGATTGAAAACTCTAATAAGGAATGCTTTACTATTTCTGTAAACGCTCTTAGATATTGTACCTTTCTGGCAACTGGACACCAATAACTATTGTAAACCTGTGGAAAAACTCTGGATCATTGTCCAGAAGCTTGTCTGGACTCTGTTAGAGAAACAGAAATATAAGAGTGTCATTTTTACACAACAGATGTTTCATAACTTCTGTCCTAACAATGCAGTATCACGTTTTAGTACCATTTCCCCACTGAAAATGGCAATAAACAATTGTGCTTTAAATTCCCAATGAAACATGACAAAGAACTGTCAAAATGTAAGAACACAAACCTCCTCTACAAAGTTTCCTGACACGTCGCTGTTCAATTCTTGTAGTAGTTCAGTGGCAGCCTGTGCTCTATTCTGCAACAACAAAACTAAGATATGGGGTCCAATAGCACAATTTACAACCGATTCTTCTAAAAAAAGCATATTAATTTGATATAATGAAAAAGCAATATTAGAGCAGAGGTAAAAAAATAAATGCACAAAGTATTACTTACTTTTCCAATACTGTCAACACTAAGAAAAAAGCTGCAAAATAACAGTCAGAGGTCAGTCACTAACCCACACGTGGAACAACTCATCTGTTGGAAATTAGTCCTACTTGTTTCCTGCATCTTCCCCAGAGACTGTGTGGCCGTCAACTATGGTGAACGCTCCAATCCCTGACAAAAAGACCATTTCGCCCAGTCAGACAGATGTTGCATCACCATCAGCAGCACAATCACTACAACCTCATTTGGTTACCTGGAAGTACCAGGTTCTTCAGGATCTCTGTTCCAGTCGCTGTGGCGTTGATGAGACATACGTGTGCATTTTCCAGGGCTTCTTGGCCGTGATCCCCCCACAGTCTGAAGGCATTAAACATAAACAATGACATCTGGACAAACACATCAACCTCAGCACCTTTATCATCATCATCGTGTAAACGGGTTACTGTTTTACCATCAGAAATTAGGATAGCACAGGTTATGATAGGGTGGCAGGTGAGATTAGAAAAACAGGCAACATTGGTGGGCTGACAAATATATACAGGAACTCAAAAGTAGCTCTTTTAATTAATTTCACAAACATGCTAACGTGAAACAAATGAAGCTAAGGCGAAGCATCATTACTAGCACTTTAGCTAGCCAAATGTCTCGAGAGTGACCTCTCACGATGAAAAATCGTCATATATAACTTTTGGAACGGAATGTTTTTTCAATGATTTTGATGTGAATTAAACTAACCTGAGCTGTCTATCATATTTTTGTTCTTTAGAGTCTTTGGTGGCTGCCATGGTCGCTTTTCAATGAGCGATGTTTTCGTTTTTACTTCCGCTAAGCCAGATTCGACACACAGGCGTAAAAAAATCCCAACCCGCACTTTCGACACAAAACTTCACCGTGACGAGATGTTACACAAATTAAATCGCGTTTAAAAACGATAAATAAATGACGCAAATAATAACAACAATATTTTTGTTGTTTCACGGAATTTCAGGAGTTAAAAACTTACTTTGCTTAAAGCTAAAAATAAAACAAAAGACAAAAAGAGAGTAAGCGCACCTGTTATAAAGCACGTTGATTGATTTATTTTTATTGTAATTTATTTATAACCAAATTGTAATACACGGGCCTGACTATTATAAAATAAATAAACAACTAAACAAATAAATTAATAACTAAGATTTTATGAAAATCATATTTGCACTTGTATATAGTTAAAGAAAACTTTTTTCTTTCATTCCTCATTTTGTCCTCTTATTATCTTTTCACTGTAATCACGATTGCGCGCATCTATCAGACAAGAAAAACGTGTGCTTGCGTGCGTGTTTGCGTGAAGGGGCGTGTCACCCAGGAGTTAACGGCCCCTCCCTTTCTTGTCCCTAATAAACCTCATTGATACCTGCTACGGTTGATCTGTGCGTGTGTCTGCGTGCGCAGAGCAGCTCGGAGCGTCTGGTCCAACTCGTTCTGCAGACATCATGACAGGACAACAGTGGGGATATGGAAAAGAGGACGGTAAATGTGAATGAAATTTATCCCAGTTTGCAGGTGGAAGGGGTCACCAGTGAATTCTTCTGGTAAACTGGTGTTAATGCGGGATTAGTTCTGCTATTTAAAGGATGTCTAGTCTCATTAACCTGACATTCTACTTGTTTCCTGAGCTGCTGATTTAAAACACAAACAATTGAACCCATGTGTTAATTTTTTTTTTTTTTACATGACTTTTTGTACTAAACTGACTGTATTATAAACATATAGCCATATATTAATTATTATTATTAATTTTTAAGGGCCTTCATTGTGGCATGAAAACTACCCTGTTGCCCTGGGAAATCGCCAGTCCCCTATAGACATTATCCCTGATCAGGCCACGCGTGACCGAGACCTGGGTCCCATCGTTCTGGACTACGACAGCTGTACCTCCATTAACATTGCCAACAATGGACACTCTGTAGTTGTGGAGTTTGTGGACTCTGATGATCGCTCAGGTAAGAAGCTGTAACTTCTAATGCTTTTTTTTTTTAGAACATAAACAGAAATAAGCAATTAACAAACAAACCAGCAAATTACTTCTTATGTTCTAGGTTTATGACTGAGTAATTTTATCGTAACTCACACCTGTGTCCAAATGTGAAATGTTTATCGTCAAGTTAGTCTATTTAGAGATTTGACTGCCTTGCAACTATTGATGAAGGTCACAGTTCGGAGATAATTCGCCCCTCTTATCTGCTGCTATGTGCAGAAAACAAAATCTGTGCTATAAATACAATCAAAGAGATTTTAGAAAGTGCAAATCGCGTTGACAGCATAATAAAAGGGTGCAAATAAACCTCTCATTATACTGCAGGAAGGTGCAGCTGACACTTAACTGCATGAGTATCTGTCTGCTGGACAAAAGATATAATAACCTGAAGGTGATCTCAGTGGCTGTTATGAAAATATTTGTCTTTATGGGTGGCTTCATGTTAGCCACCCTGCCATTACTGTGAGCGATAAGCAACAAAATGTGGAGAATTTTGAGAGTATTAGCACATTTGACTGGAAATAATTCATGTGTTCTTAATTAAGACAAAAGCACATCTTATTGTTCCCCTTCACCTGCCTTTTACAGCAGATTAAAATAAACAAACTGGACAAAAGTATTAAACTATACTTACTAAAGTTGCAGCAGCGTAAGTGGGGAGGTTCAGTTACCAAACCTCTGGTTAACCTCAACTATTCAACAACTCAATTGTTTTGTGGCATTCATTATACAAAAGAAATAAAGATCAAACAAGAAGAATACAGTTGTAGGTGACCTGTTCCTCGGATTACAGAAATCTGAGAAAGTTGCAACCAGTAACAACCCCAAACAAACAAACAAACAAACAAAAGATTTCGTATCTTCTAATGCTCCTAATTCACCCAAGCTCCAACTTACCAGCCAATCAGGTTCCAGGAACTCTCCAGGGGGCTTGTGTGTATCAGGAGCCAGTGACAGAAGGTGCCCCACCACAGAGGAGCTGAGCCACAGTGATGGGTCATAAGATCCATCAATCTAAACAAAACATTTTCATCTGCAAGAAATCATAATACCTTTGGTTTCACGAGGATCAAATGTCCCTAACGTTTACAACAAATGTTCTTGAAACACAGTAGATTATATGACACAAGCTTGTTTAAAGGTCAGATAATATGTTTCGTTCACAGTTCCTCTCTGTTATCAGATATGGTAACACTGACTTAAATTATTTAACACTACCAAATCAATTTGGAAGTCATAACCAGAATCCTTGGAACCTGAAACAGAATATTCATACATTTCTAAAATGGAGAAAAGACAAAAGTGGTTTTCATCAGGGATTGTTGTTACACAAGGTGTAAAAGAATGCATATCGGTCGCATTACCTCACTGAAATGAAGGAACAAGAAGGAAAGGAAAGAAGTGAAGGCAGGGAAAATTAATTAAAATAAAATAAATGAAAACAATAAAAAGGGAAGTGAAATCAATGAAGATGAGAAACACCGTTCCATTCATACTAATGTTATACAGTATAAAACACTTAAAATGTTGTCAAGCTAAATGTAGAATCTTGGACAGCCAAGGCTTACCAGTGGAAAATGAGTGGCCATCTTGGATGACATTAAAACACGTGTGCTTCTCACCTAGACCCACACGGTGGTGAACCAGATACTACGAAAATATTGAAATCAGTCTTCCAGTCCAAAACAGACAAGATCTGGGATGACACAAAATCTGTGATAAACCTCCTTCCTGAGGGGAACGGGGCAAAAACTGTGTGCTGGGTGAGTGGGGTCCTTCATGATGCAGGCGGCCCTCTTCCTGCATCTGGATGTGTAGATGTCTGTGATGGTGGGGAGGCCGACTCCAACAGACTTCTGTGCAGCCTTCACCACTCTCTGCAAAGCTTTTCTTTCTGCAGCTGTGCTGTTTGGCTTTTATTTGAGATGCAGTCTTGTCTTTCAGCAACCCAAAGCATAAAATTAAATAGATAGTAGATTCAAAGATAGTCAAAGGTCAAAGGTACTTTATTTTTATTCATTAAGCAAAGCTGATCATCTGAAAAGAAAAAGCTATGCTAAAACGGCAACGCGTTTAATCCAAGAAGACTAAGCAGCAGCAGTGTTTTTCATTCATTCAGCCCTTTTTTATACAGGTTAATCCCAGTGTCCCTGTAGCCAACACTGGAGCCGTAACACGTTCGTAGGAACTTGTATCTTTTGCTTGCTAACTTGTTAGCAGCAAACCGGGCTCACAGTTTTAATCAGGCAGCACCTCGGAGGTGATTCCTGCTTAGATGACCAACTGTGTGCACCAATACTGATCCAAGTGGGGCAAAGGAGGATGACCTGCAGGATGATGGTGGTCAGGTAAGGTGAGTAGAGATCAGAACATCAAAGTAACACTAGCTGTTGTTATTGGTCGCCTATGATGCACACCATGAACTGATTGGCTGATGTCCTATAAAAGGTTAAAAGCAAATAACACATGCTCTGCCACATTTTACTCCCTGTTTTGAACTGTTGCCCCAAAGACTGACCAATAAATCAAAACTGCTGAGCTTTGTCCAAGGCCTAAAAAAACTACTAATGCATGAGATCCATGAGCAGAAGTTTCATAGCTTCTTGTGCTGTTCTCCTCACAGACTTTGGATAATGGTAAGCTTTGGTGGCCAGCTGTTGACCTTGTGGTGCTGCACACTAGCATAGTGTTTTTTCCTAGTTAGTTGATAGAACAGCCACAGCGAAAGATGTTACCATTACCTCGGTCAAAGAAACCATCGTAAATATAGCCACAGTGGGAACCAGATCCCTAGATTCAAGACCCTCAGCTGGTTGAATGTGTGTTGGAAGAGTGCTCTGCAATATCACAGAGACAGTACCAGCATTAGAAAGGGTCTCCTGTCTCAGAAACAGGTCATCACATGAAAACTGATGCTCTGAATGGGATTAATTAAAACCAGGTGCACTATCCATGGGATTAGACAGGACACTCCATATTAATGACAGCATTCAACAAAGTGCAAATCACTTGACTTCACCTAAATCACACACTGGTGTAATGATATACACAACACCATCTCACTAAGTTGCTTTATAAACCCTGTGCATCAGAGAAGTCCACATAGATAAGACAGATGCCTTGGGTTTATACAGTGAAGTCACGAATAAGTACAGACTGACCCGCTTTCATTGGCATATATTGAACATGTTTTTTCCTTTTTGCAAATTCCACATCGGTTCAGAAACACCTACACTAAGCAGTTTGTCATTCTTAATCTAAAACAAACTCTGTAACAAAGCTGGGCCAGCTTGGCTTTTGCTTTAAACCCAATCTTGTCATTTAGTAACATAAAATGACAAAGCAAAGCAGATTCAAAGATATTCAAAGGTCTAGCTCAAAGGTACTTATCTTTATTCCTAAAGCAAATCAGATCATTTGAAAAGGTAAAGCAGGTAATCCAAAAAGGCAAAGCAGCAGCATATCTTTAGGCAGCCCTGGAGCAGCGACACTTCAGCCGTAACTTGTAGCTCTTCTTGGTGTGGCTAATTAGCAGCCGAACAAGCTCACGGTTCTGATCAGATGGCAAGAGGCGATCTTATGCGTAGCGGACTAACCTTTTGTTCCAGTACTGATCCGAGCAAGTAGTTACAAGAGAAGACCAACAAATGTGTGTTTGCAGAACAACGGCACACCCAAAAGTATAATGTACAATTCAACTTTTATTTATACAGGTGAGTCTCAGTGAGTCACGATAAATAATATAATACGACAATAAAAATATAATGTGCACAAGAGCTGACTGAGTAATGTTCTAATAACAAACACCTACTCTGCTACACTCAAAAAAGGAACTTGTTCAATTTACTTAATACAGTTATGTCAACAATTTCCACTAAACTGAGTTTTGTTCGATATAATTCCAAATGATTATTAAGATGCTAATAAGTGACTTATGTGTAACCAACATAACCAAATCAAGTAATTCCAACCTTATCAGGTCACCTTCGATTTAATTAAAAGGTCTGTGTTCACCCAATTAAACTGACCCAAATGATGCTCAATGGTGTTAATTAATGCTGACATAAAATAATTCATTACACCAACTTAACTTATTTAAATAAATATAACTTAACTGTATTTAGTAAAATCAACCAAACAATAAGTTGCAGCTCCAACTTAACTCACTTAAGTTAGTGTGGCAATTACTGGATTTTGTTTTAGTTAACTTGTTTTAATTGGTATAAATGTATTAGTCTTAAGTCCACTTACTAAACAAACATATGTCAACAATTTCCACACAGTGTAGTTATGTAAATTCAAGTTAAAACAGCTTTGGTTTTTGTGTAACAAACATTTATTATCAATTAAACAGATAATAAACCCTCTGAATATCAATAAACATTTTCCATTCCCTTCATTAGGCTTAATGTTTTACAACGTTCACCAAATATAAAAAAATAAATAAAAAATGCAGGAAACATAATCATTCACTCACATAAGAAATACAATTGTGGTGATGTTTTATGTTATAAAAATTGTCAAATCGTATTGAAATAACCAACAACAAATGGACTCTGGCGGAAAGGAATAAGGCATACCAGGCTTTAGAAAAACAAAAAAACTATGGTGAATACATTTACTTTTTGAACCTGTTGTCAATAGAAGTAAAACATAAAAAGTAAATCATTAGCCTTCAACTCTAACAACCTTCAAATGTTGAGTGTTTAAAGATAACTAAATCCAACATGTTCTCTCTACCTGTAAAAATCATAAAATGTGCAATTAACAAAAATCTTCTGGGAATGTGTGACCTGCACAATCCTAACCCAGAGAAACATTCCATTAAAATAAAAACTGAAATCAATATTAAATTCAATTTTCTAACACTAATTTGACAAACAGAACATACATATAAAATGGTTTAACAGTGCTATGCCATAAGGAATACTTTAAAGTAATTTTTTGGTTTCTCCCTTCAGAAAAAAAAAACAATTTCAAAAGAAAAGCTGAAAACATTTAGCTAAAGACAGACCTTTTCCAAAACTACCACTTACAAAATCAACAAGTTCTGCAAAATATTTCAAAGCAACTTAAAATTGTTACATTCATTTTGTGCTTTTAAGACTTCTCTCACCCTCAACAATCTTGCTATAATTTTCTGACATTTATAATTGCTGCCTCTTTCATGCCAATTTTAGTTACATTCTCCATTTTTAGTTTCCCTCCTTCTCTGGGTTACATAACACCAAAAAACCTCATATGAACAATTATACAAAAAGTCTGCTAAAACATATTCAGACATAACTTCCAAAGCTCAATGTATGGATCCGAAACATTCCAGTTCTGTTGATGGTTAGGGATTAAAACCCTTGTTTAAGTGTTCTGCAGTGCCATTTCAAGTTCAAGTTTTTTAGTGCTCCTGTTTTCTTGCAACTTCTTGTCTGAACAAGTCATTCATACAGCTTGTTTTTTAGCACTTGTGCTTTTGTTGAGAGACATTTTCCATCCAGTTCCATCATAATTTTTTGCAAAACCTCAAATGTGTACTTGAGTTTTGTGGGGTAGCTCAAGTCCAGTGAGTAAATGAGGCCAAACAAAATGGCGACTGCATTTGCAATGTTACCAAGATTATGAAGCACTTCGACTCCTTCAATGATTATTCCAACCTCTTCAAGTCCGTCTGTAGGTTCTGCGCCTTCCTTCTTAATGGCAAAGACTCCTAGGATCATCTGCTGCATTGCCTCCTGGTTGTCCTCAACATCCTCAAACACAAAAGAAATGCATTTTCAGCAAAAACACAAAAACTTTTTTGCTGCACCATACTCGGCCCCAAACCATTTCCAGTTGTTTCAATATCTAATTTTGGTTTGTTCGCAACTGTTGCCAACCATGGATATCAGAAAGGATGTTTCTCTGGAGAACCAAATATCAACTATTATAAAATTTACAACTAAACAAATTACAAATTCTTATTGTAAACTAGAACAGATATTTACAATGCAAGATTGCACGCATTAATTTGTCCTGAGGGAAATATAGCATTATTATATGGTAAATCTGTCAATATTCTGTATTTCTAAATGTCAACAGACCTTGTAGTTTGAAAATTCAAAATAATCTAACAAGTATTGTGTATGTGGCCAAAGCTTGGCATAGCAAAAACAAGGCAACAAATTAACAAAAGTCTATGCTCAGTAATCCAGGTAAACAATCCAACATCTTTTCAGTCAGGTCATCTGGACAGTTTCTTTTTTTTTTTTGCTGAAACGTTTCACCTTCAAACCAGAAGGCTTCATCAGTCAAGGACACACACAACAAGGACCTATGTTGGTTTTCAACCATTTTGGACATGACTGCCGACAAGGGAGTGGGCCGAGACTGGAGAAGAGGGCGGGCCAAAGAGACCATCTTAACACCAACATAACTGTTTTTTTCCACTCTGGAGTAAGCTGTTGGGGGAGGAATCAGTTTTGTTTTGTGTGTGTCCTTGACTGATGAAGCCTTCTGGATTGAAGGTGAAACGTTTCAGCAAAAAAAAAAAAGAAACTGTCCAGATGACCTGACTGAAAAGATGTTGGAAGGCAACAAATTGTTCCTTAAATGCAAAGATTTTAGATACATTAATTTTTATTAATGTACACAAAAATTACAAACTGCTCTAAAATTGGAAACATTAACATTTTCCAAGAGCAAATCTGTGGAATGCAGAAGCCGAAAAAAATAAAAAACTCACCATGTACTCCTTTATGAGGGCTTCTGGGTCTTCATTGAGATAAACAATTAGCGATTTCAGGACACAAGCTCTTTTAGTTTCAATGGCGTCATCCTGAAGGAAAGAACAGGCAATGTGTAAGATCATTGTTTTATTGTGCAGTAAATTATGAAGGATTGAAACTGACATATTTTGAACTAAAAGCAGAAATATATAAATAGACCATTGAATGAATAAATACAATTAAAAAGCACCAGTTAAAACAGAAGAAATTTACTTCGTTTTATAATTTATTAATAATAAGAATTCATTTTATTTATATAGCGCCTTTCAGGACACCCAATATTTATTTTTCCAGCAAATTTTGTATATTTTAGCACATAATTTACATTTTTCTGTTTTTAAAAATATATATTTTTCCATCCATCCATCATCAACCACTTGTTCAAGAGTGGGGTTGCAGGGGCAGCAGCGTTAGCATGGAGGCCCAGACATCTCTCTCCACAGCCACCTCTTCTGGGAGGATTCCAAATCGTTCCCAGGTCAGTCGAGAAACAGTCTTTACAGCATGTCCTGGATCTTCCTCTGGGTCTCCTCGTAGTCGGAAATACCTGAAGCACCTCTTTAGGGAGACGTCCAGGCGATATCCTTACCAGAGGCCCGAACCAACTTCTCTCTATTTCTACATATTTTCTGTTTTTCCTTTTACTTGTAGGTGCATTTGTCAAAAAAAAAAAAAAAAAACGGTCGTTGTTTCTCCGTTTAGTTTGCTGACGGGGCATTGAATCCTGGGATATCCTTGGCTGGGAAGGATACTCTGATGCATCCCTGACTTTTGATATTTTGTGAGCCACATTCGTCGGCCGCATGAGAAGGAGCCAACAAGTTGGGACAGCCCTCAGCATGAGGCAGTGACATAAGTGGCCGAGAAACGCGCATTCAGAAGGATGCAGCCCCTGAATTGAGATAGAGTCATTGACTGTGCTGCCTCTGTTTAGCTTAAAGTTTCCTTTAAAACAGAGGCATAGGTAAGTGTCTTTCGTCCTTGCCTTTATTTTAAACTGAACTGTAAACTTTAAGCTAAACTGAGGCAGCACAAGCATGCACAGTCAATCTGCACAAGGATCCTGCTCCTCCTATCTATTGACCAATAGAGGAGCTGATCCAAGAAGGGCAGCCCACATTATTTACGTAATGAGGCAGAAATGCATAAGGAAAAGGAAAATCAGGAGACAGAAAAATGTAAAAGAAACACATGGAAATAAAGACTTGTTGGAAAAAAAATAAACAAGAAGTATTTAAGAGACAAATGCATCAAAAAGTAAAATTAAATATTTATATATTTTTTTAAAAACAGTAAAAAAAAAAAAAAAAAAAATATATATATATATATATATATAT